GGGAAAGTTTTCTAAAAGTTTGCTAGTAGAGTAAAAAAATTAGAGTAGGAAATGCGAAATTATTTATAATGAGCATTCAAAAATATTTACTGAGGCAAAGATACTTTTTATAGGACTTTGGGCTTATAATTTTAAATGGAAATTAGGTTTTAGGTTAGTTTTTTACTTATGAGAGATAAAAAGTAAGTAAAAAATAAGGAGTAAGAATAAGCAAATAATTATTTTTAATAAAAAGATTATCTTCCCTCCCTCGGTCGTTCAGTAATTATAAAAAGTTTTGCGACCAATTTGCCACCCTTATCTAATGCTGCTAAACTAGATAAAAGCGACCGCCGTTAAGCGGTCGTAAAATGGCAAAACAATAAAGCGACGCTATCAATGGTCGCACTATGAATAGTAAAGGCAAAATTTTTTACCTAAGTCATCTTAAAAGTTGGATACTCTATTATCCATAATATAATTTTAGCAAAAAGATTATTTTGACATGGCAATAGAACCAAAGTAATTATTTTTTTAAGGATTATATTTCTGACTAATACATATTTACATATCATACATATTTACATATTTTATACTTATAGATGGACAACTAATAGATAAAAATATGTATTTATGGATGATATGGATAAGTTATTAATTATTAGTAGGAACTTCCTGTTGTGCCTGATATTGTTGCTGTTGTTTTATTTCGTTTACTATTGTAAGCGTGCGAGACATTTCATTATTTAATATCATGATACCTTCATCTCCTCCAAGGCCAGGTTTAGATAACAGATAATCAGGATTACATGCAAGAGCAATATGTGAAGTTATACGAGAAGATTGGTCGGTTTCATTAGCTGTACCACCAAGACAAACTTTCATTCCATTTTTTTTACAATAAAGTATCGCTTCAATAGTATTATTAATACCACCAAGGTCTGGTGTTTTTATTTGAATATAATCAGCAACTTTCTCATCTGTAAATAATTTAATATCATTAAAAGTATTACACCATTCATCAGCAATTAAAGATACTTTAAACCCTTTTTCATTTAATAATTCTTTTATTTTTTTAAATCCTAAAATTTGTTCTTGTTGATTTTTTGCGATAATAGGTGATTCTATAAGAAGATCATAAGGAAAAGTAGTTTTTTGAAGTTCACCTAAATAATCAGATATTAAATCAAAATCCATTTTAAATAATTCTCCCAATGTTCCATAAACATCTAAATGTATTTTTGGTTTATATTCTTTTTCACCTATTTCTTTTATTCTATTAACAATTATTTTTGCATAATTAATTAATTTTTCACCTTTTAATCCAATATGTTTATTTACGTCTGTAAATGAAGCATGTGGTAACAAATCTACTTTTTTAATAATCATTCTATCAAGCTGCATAAAATCATCTCTATTACAAGATGCTAATATTGGTATTAATTTATTTGCAATATTAGTTTTATATTCTGAAGAAATAACTTCTGCCATTGTGCAATTTAATGATAATGAAACAGCATGTAATAATGCTTGAGTAACCCCATATCGTATTGCTGTATGTATTTTTTTATTTTTATCATAAAGATTATCAAATTCATAAGCAAGATATCTAAAATTATTCAATTGACGTCCAACAAGTTTAGGTGAGATTTCTTTAATAACGTAATCTATATGATTTTCTGCATTAAATATTTTATCTCTTCCTGCTATACCTGTAAATATTACATCTACACAATCACCAAAAGCTGTTTGTTCATCTTCAAGTTTTAATATAATAGATATAACAGTGCCTGGCTCATCTATTTTTTTAAATCCAGGCAGAACAGGATTTCCTGTATATATAAAACCATTCTGTTTAGCTCCATTTTTTATAGCTTGCAAATCACGATGTATATACCCTGAACGTCCAATAGCACATAATACTTTTTTTATTTTAGTAAATTTGTTAATATACTTTGCATCCATATATTTTTTTAAAGCATAATCAAAAACCTCTCCCTAATTAATAAAATTAAGAACTAGTATATTAATAATCACTTAAACTTCTAATCAATCTCTCCCTCTCCGCTTTATCATTCACTAACCGGGCTTTTAATTCCTGAGTATCATAAATAAAAACATTTTCTTCCCCAAAAAAGACCACTTGGGAATATTTTTTAATTTTATATTTATGAGTTGCTTTTAAAATAGATAAAGGCAATTCCCCTTTTACATAAATACAATCACTCCTAATGGCTAAGACATTTTCCGGTTTAAATTGTCGGTATAAATAATAAGTTTGTAAAATAGCTAAATGATTTACTGCTAGTGTCCAGGCTCGGTAATTATAACCGCCAAATTTACTTTTACCGACTGCTCCATAAAAAGCATTAGCCAACATTTTGCCTTGGCTCTCATCAGTTTTTTTTAGTTCTTCACAGTAATCTAAAAAAGAATTTATAGAGCCTTTTTTTTCTTCAAATATTCAGAAGTTTTTATACTGTATCTTCCCCAAAGTTTTATATTGTCTAATAAAAGTATGAAATAAACGAGTATGAAGCAAAAAACGACCTCCAATTGGGGATTTTATTTGGTTTTCTGAATTGGGAATAAAAGGAATTTGGTTATTTTTAATAGTAGCCATTCTAGTTAGAAAAAAGTTAACAAACCCCTCTTTGCCCTCTTTTAATTTTTGCCCTATCACTTGCGGATCAGTTACTAACTCCGGAATACCACAAGGCAAAGGGTAATCCCGCATTATATTGGCATAGCAAGATTTGATATCAATATAGTAAACATTATTAAACGTTCCTACTCGTAAGTTCTCAAAGCGAGGGGCAAATACTCATCCGCCAATATCTTCAAATAATTCTGCATTATGGCTCGGATGTTCTTCTACAAAATCAGGACAGAGTTCTCAGCATTTTTTTAGGGCTTGCGTTCCTAATCCCTCCCTAATTTCTTCGCTGGCTCCTCGTAGTTCTTTAATAGTAGCCAAGCCAATTTGGTGAGTCCTTTGCTCTTGATTGGTAATTATCTCTTCCTTATCATGATAAAGATTAATTAAAGGTCAAGTATTTTGGTCACAGTAAACAGTTAAGGGATATTTGCTTATTTTTTCCCATGGTATTTCTCTTAACCCCTCCTTATCCGGCTTAATTATCTTATTTTTTCAGTCTAATCAGTAAGTAATTTTCATATCTTTTGAATTTTATTTTTTTCGTCAAACTTTTTTCTTTCTCGGCCTACTAAAAGTCCCAATATGACACCCCCCTCAATCCCCCCCTTTCACTCTCTCTCTCCTCCGCTCCCCTTCCACCGAAAAATGCCACTGCTTATTGGCATCCGCATGTTCCATTCTCCCACACACCCCAGGCCTATAACTATACAACCAAGGACAATGCTTAGGTAACACAGGCGGATGATATTCCCCATAATGCACACAATCCAAACACCACCAATTACTAGTCCCTTGATTCTCTTGACAACTCCCTAAACCCATCGCCTCCACCCAACACAAAGCCTTATCCTTCTTCAACCTCCAAGTCTGAATCTCCAAAGCACTCCCTTCTT